ATTGATTTCAGAGAGGAAGGGAGAGTGGGGGAAAGGTAGAAACATCAATGATGAGAGAGAATCATTGATTGGCTGCCTTCCTGCACACCCCCTACTGGGGATCAAGTCCGCAACCCAGGCATGTGCCCTTGACCAGAATCGAACCTGGGACCCTTCATTCTGCAGGCCGACGCTCTATCCACTGAGCCAGACCAGCTAGGGCAGGTCCCTTGCAATCTTAATTAAGGTGATTACTTAGAATAGGAGTGTGGAACCTTTTTTCTGCCAAGGGCCATTTGGATATTTATGACATCATTCACAGGCCATACAAAATTATCAACTTAAAAATTAACCTGCTATTTGGTCAAACATTTAATTAGCCGAAACCGGTTTGGCTCAGTGGATAGAGCGTCAGCCTGTGGACTGAAAGGTCCCGGGTTAGATTCCAGTCAAGGGCATGTACCTGGGTTGCGGGCACATCCCCAGTGGGAGATGTGCAGGAGGCAGCTGATCGATGTTTCTCTCTCATCGATGTTTCTAACTCTCTATCTCTCTCCCTTCCTCTCTGTAAAAAATCAATAAAATATATTTAAAAAAACAAACAAACAAAAAAACATTTAATTAACTCACCCCTAATGCCTTGGCAGGGCCAGACCAAATGAAGTTCCCCACCCCTGATGTAGGAGGTGACACTTGAATAAGGACCAGGTGGGGGTGAGGGAGGAGCCATGCAAAGATCTGGTGAGTGGTCATGCCAGGCAGAGGGAATAGCATATGCAAAGGCCCTGAAGTGGGAGTGCGAGTGGCAAGTTTGAGGAACAGTGAGAAGGCCAGTGTGGAGGTTGTGGGAGGAGATGAGAGCAGGGAGGTGACAGGCGGCTCCTGCAGAGCCCTGTGGGCTGCAGGAAGGATTTGAGCTTTTGCTCTGAGTGAAGTGGGAGCCAGGGAGGGTTCTTCTGAGCAGGGGAGGATGGCCACCTGACGCAGGTGTTCACAAGTCACCCCTTGGCTGTAGTGAGAGGAACAGCATGTGGGGAGCAAGGGTGAAATCCTGGAGATTCAGGAGGAGGCACTAGTCCAGACACCAGATGGTGGAAGTTGTGGAGGTGGCGGGAAGTGAGCAAATTACAGGAGATGTTGAAGGTGGAGCTGGCAGGTTCGGGCGTGAAGGCCAGAGGCCTCCTCAGCGTGTGGATTAAAGCCATGTGGGTGACAGCAGTTGCGGGGAGCAGGCGTCATCTACAGCAGGCAAGACTGGGACTTAGGGAACCCAGAGCAAAGGGTGGGGCCCATTCCCCTACAGCATGGGGCCCATTCCCCAACTGGAAAAGAGAAGTTTGTTTGTTTTTATTTATTTTATTTATTAAAATTTTTATTTATTGATGTGAGAGAGAAGGAGAAACACCTATTAGTTGTTCCACTTATTTATGCACTAGAGGCCTGATGCACGAAATTTGTGCAAGGGGCTCGGCCCTCGCAGCCCCGGCTTCGTCCAGAAGGTTGTCCGGAAGGTCGTTTGGCTGCCTAGTCTAATTAGCATATTACGCTTTTATTATTATAAATTAATTGGTTGATTCTTGTATGTGTCCTGACTGGGGATCAAACCCTCAACCTTGGCATATCAGGAGGACACTAACCAACTAAGCTACTTGGCCAGGGCCTATCTGTTCATTTTTTAAAATAAGCATATATATAATTGATTTCAGAGAGGAAGGGAGAGTGGGGGAAAGGTAGAAACATCAATGATGAGAGAGAATCATTGATTGGCTGCCTCCTGCATGCCCCACACTGGGGATTGAGCCCACAACCCAGGCATGTGCCCTGACTGGGAATCGAACTGTGACCTTCTGGTTCCTAGGTGGATGCTCAACCACTGAGCCACGCTGGCCAGACTAAAATTTATTTTTATTGATTTTAGAGAGAGGAAGAGATGGAGAGAGACAGAAACATCGATAAGAATCATTGATCAGCTGCCTCCTGCATGCCCCACACTGGGGATTGAGCCTGCAACCCAGGCATGTGCCCTGACCCGGACTTCCTGGTTCATGGGTCGATGCTCAACCTCTGAGTCACACTGGCTGGGCAATTCTTAATTTTTTTTGAGGAACCTCCATACTGCTTATAATCCCAATAGTGCACCAGGGTTCCCTTTTCTCCACATCCTCACCAACACTTATTTCTTATCTTTTTTTTTATTAATATTTCTATTGATTTCATAGAGGAAGGGAGAGGAAGAGAGAGAGATAGAAACATCAGTGATGAGAATCACCAAACAGCCGCCTCCCGCAAACCCTCGAACTGGGGATTGAGCCCATAACCCAGGCATGTGCCCCCGACCAGAATCGAACCCGGGACCCCTCAGTCCACAGGCCAACGCTCCATCTACTGAGCCAAACCAGCCAGAGCATTATTTCTTATCTTTTAAAAAAAATGTTTTTATTGATTTGAGAGAGAGAGAGGAAAGGATAGAGGAAGAGAGAGAGAGAGAGAGAGAGAGAGAGAGAGATTGAGAAACATTGATCGGCTGCTTCCAGCACACATTCCGACCAGGGATCAAACCTGCAACCTGGATATGTGCTCTGACTGGAAATCAAACCAGCAACCTTTGGTGCATGGGACAACGCTTAACCAACTACTGGCCAGGGCTATTTTTTAATTTTTAAAAGTTTTTATTGATTTTAGAGACGGGGGGAGAGAAATATATAGCAGCAACCTTTGGTGCATGGGACAACGCTTAACCAACTACTGGCCAGGGCTATTTTTAATTTTTAAAAGTTTTTATTGATTTTAGAGAGGGGGGGAGAAATATATATAGAGAAACATCTATTTATTGTTACACTTGTTTACACATTCATTGGTTGATTCTTGTATGTGCCCTGACTAGGGATCAAACCTTCAACATTGGTGGATTGGGACAACACTTTAATCAATTGGGCTACCTGGCCAGGGCTGGCTCTTGTTTTTTTTAAAAAAAAAATTCCTTCAACATTGGTGGATTGGGACAACACTTTAATCAATTGAGCTACCTGGCCAGGGCTGGCTCTTGTTTTTTTTTTTTTTTTAAAAATTGATTTTTAGAGAAAGAGAGGAAGGAAGAGGGAGAGAGAGAAACATTGATGTGAGAGCTGAACATCGATCGACTGCCTCCTACATGCCCCCAACCAGGAATCCAGATCAGCATCCCACACCAGCCAGGTCATTTCTTGTCTTTTTTGTAATAGACATCCTAACAGGTGTGAGGTCATTCTCATTGTAGTTTTGAGAGCATTTCCCGGATGATTAGTGATGTTGAGCACCTTTCCATGTACCTGTTGGCTATCTGTACATCTAAAGAAAGAGAAGTCTTGGGTGGCTAAGTCGCCCAAGGTTATATAGTGAGGAATTTGGTGCAGTGAGTATCTGGGGCTCTTGCCACTGCCCCAAGAACAGGTGGGCATTTGGGGCCCCCAGGCCTGACATTTCCCATAACCCCGCCAGGTCCAGGAGCTGCAGGATTCCCTGCTGAGGCTGGAGCCCTTGCCACCTCCCTCTCAAAGCCAAGTGGATGGCTTGGGCAGCAGTTCCAGCAGCTCTGGGACTGTCAGGGAACCCTGGACCACTCAGGTGAGTGTAGAAAGCTCAAAACCACTTATTTGAGATCCTTTGGGTTTGGGGCAGTGAGACCCAAACCTGGCCATGTGATCCAACAGCTTCTGGGGTTGGAAAAGCTTAAACCCATAGTACTAGGCTCTTGATGCCAATCTGAGTGAATCAAGTCCCCTCTTGCTGGCAGGATCCCTTCTCCCTGTCTCACCCCCTGCTCCGGCGCCTCCAGAGTGATTCCAGTGCCCAGGTCCTTGGGCCTCTCCCCAACCGGCCCCTTGCCCCTGAGATGCACATTGTGGAAGCTCAGATGGAGCAGCTCCGGGGGTAAGAGACACAAATGTTGAGCTCTTAAGGGCACCGGCACCTGCTTTGCTAGGATATAAACCCAAGAGTCTGGAGCTGAAATGGGGGTGAGGGTCAGGGAGGAGAATGGAAATCGATAAGGTCCTGACTGCCCTGTGAGGCCTCTCATTTTTTCTCTTCCCCGTCTTTGGAGGTAGAAACATCGAGAAGCTCAAATGCTTTAACCGTCTGCTGTCTGCTGTGCTCCAGGGATACAAGGGCCGGTGTGAGGGCCTCAGCATGCAGCTAGGCCAGTGGGAGGCTGAGGCCACAGCACTACGTCTGGCCTTGCAGTATAGGTCAGTGCATCCTGCCCATGATGTCAATGGCTGGGAAGAGAATGGGTACATTTAGAGGATGGCCCTGATCCACAAAGAGAGGCAGGACCCCTTCAAGAAAGCACTTTCTCTCACCATGAAAATTCATTGAAGGCAATTTTAGTCCAAGGATGCTGAAGAGGTTCGCATGCCCTCTGGGGGTCGGGGTCAGGGAGATATGAGAGACCCAGGAGCAAGTGAAAACACCCCTTACACGGAAAGATGGGGCTGAGTGTCCCAGAGCACTCAGAACTAATGTCCCACAGTGAGCACTGTGAGGAAGTGTACAGAGTCCTGCTCACGCTCCGGGAGGCAGACTCAGGAGCAGAAGTCCCCAGGAGTGATGTGGAGGCAGCTGAGAAGGAGGCTCAGAGGCTGCTAGCTCAAGAGGAGGCTGTCATGGATGGAGAAACACTGTGGGATCCCCAGCCAAGGTACTCCTGGGAACCCCTGGAACTGGGCAAGCTAGTAAATGGGGTCCTAATTGGAGAATGGGGCTGGCTCCCAGAGCTGACCCTGTGGAGACCTGACTGGAATTGGCTGGTTGCTACTCAACAAACGAACCCCTGGAACTGGGCAAGCTAGTAAATGGGGTCCTGATTGGAGAATGGGGCTGGCTCCCAGAGCCGACCCTGTGGAGAGATGTGACTGGAATTGGCTGGTTGCTACTCAACAAATTTGTCATGGTAGTTGACAGTCATGGAGGTTGATCTAGGACCCACCAGGATGGGCATGAACATCGATGCCCACTGATTATAACGGGCATGACCGTGCTTAGTCAGGTTGGCCTGCTGCCAAACAGGGCTGGCAAGCTGAGTGGTGATGTCTGTTGTGTTGGTGTGATGGTGTTCACCATGTTGGACTGAGCAGTGGTCCCCTTTGATGTGATAGTGCTCACCATGTTGTCTTGATGGATAACGGTACCCACTGGGGTTTACATTATAGCGCACATCATGTTAGTATGACAGTGCCCACCACAGATGGCATAGGATCCATCATGGACAGTGAGATGAAAGAGGATGGAGCCCACCAGGGTTGGCATGAAGTTAGTACAACCGTGCCTGCCAGTGTTGATACAGGCCCCTCTTCTGTTTTCCATAGCCCTGAGGGCAGCAGTGTGGATAGGCCCACACTACAGGAGGTGGCTCTCCAGCTCCGGGGCTATGTCCAACGTCTCCAGGAGCGCCGTGCTCTGGTGAAGATTCTCCCAGAGCCTGGCCCCACCTTGGCACCCATGCCCACTCTGCCCCATGCAGAAGCCCTGGTGCAGGCCATTCTGGAGACTCAACCTGGCCCAGCCCTGCCCCGGCTGGAGAAGAGGCGGATCCAGCAGGACCTGGAGGCCACACGGGTACACATAGGCGGGGTCACTGTGTCAGTCTTTTCTGGTGGGACAAAACCCTTTGGTGAGGATGAGGGGTGTGATTAGGTGACCAAGTAGCAAGGAAAAGCTCTGCTGGGCTAGAGGCGGGCTTCCTGGAGGGAGGAGAATCGGGGCTGGAGTTTTGAGGGATGAATAGGAGTTTGTCCTTTGGAATTCAGTTCCTCATAAGACTTTGAATACGGCTTTCCAAAATGCCCTTCCTATGGAAAATAAATGGGGCAGGAGACGCCATCTGAGCTCTCTAGCCTGGTGGGAAAGACCGAAGGTTCTGGACTTGGAGAAACTCCAGACCCTTCCACTGAGCTGTTACTTGACCTTGTCTAAACTACTTGCCCTCTCCGAACTGCCATATCTACAGCTGTAGTTCTGGTGGGAGGATGGTATTTCTCACCACACAAGGTCAAGGCGAGGGCTCGAGTTCTTGCTTGACCAGCCCTCAATGGGTGCCTCCTGGGACTTCAGTTTCCCCAGACGTTGACCCTAGTGGCACAGATGCTTCGCCCTCTCCTTGGTTTCTCAGGAGACCCTGGAGGACCTGATGCTGAGGCTACAGCTGGTGCGGCGGGAGAAGCGGGGTCTGGAGCTGCAGGAGGCAGCCCTCCGAGCCCAGGGCCCAGTCCACATGCTCCTGCTGGAGCAGCTGCAGTGGGAACGGGAGCAGCTTCAGACGCGCGGGGCCAACAGCAGCGGTGGTGGCAGTAGTGGCGGGAGCAGTGGCGATGAGGAGGCCTGGTCCCAGGTGAGCGGCTCTGCTGGACCCAGGAGGGAGAGCAGTACCCTGCTGGCTGGCTGTCTCTGGCCAAGCCTCGGCTTCCATTTCTGCACAAAGAAATTAGTTGAATGGGGAACTGCAGGTTAAAGTTCACACTTTGTACTTTGGGGTCTTTTTTGGGAGGGTATTGAGCCCAATCAGCCCCAGGGGCTTAGTGTCTTCCCTTCAAACCTGCACCTCCTCATCCCCCTCTCCCACGCCTATTCACACTCGCCCCTCTACCCAATAGCCCCAGCCCATGCTTCATCTCTTCCTAAATTTTGGTTCTGGCTCCCTCCCGGAATCCTTCCTTTCCCCGCCTTTTTGTCAGTCATGTCTGCCCTCTGCTTAAAGCCTTCAGTGGCTTATAGAACCCTCATCTGAATCATCTCTTCCACCTCTAAGCCTTTGTATCTGCTGTGCCCCTGCCAGGAACAGGGGCCACTTCTTTATCTAGTTAAGTCCTTGACCTCCTGGAGGTCTGAGTTTAAATATCACCTCCCTCAGGAAGCCCTTCTGAACTGCCTTTAGGTGAGGTCACGTGTTATTTACTTCCCTTGTTAGGGAGTAATTTTACCCTTACTGGGGCATCTCATGAGACTGGGAGCGCTGTGAGGGCAAAGGACTATCGCTACCAGTCTGGACATCAACATCCAGCTTGAACTGAGCACACGCTTGGCCCAGGCCAATGTCATGTCCCTCCCCTCTGCTTCCTTCAGGGCCCTGCTATCCCTGGAGGCAGCAGGGGCATTGATGGAGGCCAGGTGGGGCAGGTGCAGGACCCGGAGGAGCTAGCTCAGGAACTGTCAGCATCACTCGCCCGGTGTGTGCCTGGGTCCTGGGCTGGGGGATGGTTGGCCTGAGAGGGTGGTGGTGGTTCCTATGTGAGCGCCCGGGGGGCGGGGAGGGGGGTTGTGTACAGCAGCGGTACTGGGTGTGCACCTGTGTACAGGTGTGCTCCCGTGGAAACAGTGTGGGCAGGGGGGTGGGCAGAAGGAAGACAGGATTGGCTATGGCTGTGAGCCCTTCTCTCATCACTCCTGCACCAGGGCCCTGGGCCTGTGGGAGCAGCTGCAGTTTCTTCGGGAGGAGCTGGAACAGGTGGCTAAGAAGGGGCGAGCCAGACGTGCTCAGAGTGTCAAGCTGAACACCGATTTATGTAAGGCTCACAGGTGGGTCCCCGCCCGTGGTGATCTCAGAAGCATTCCTCGCTCTTTATGGGCTTCAGCTTCCCTCCTATAAGGTGGGCTGCATGTTCAGCCCATTCTACCTCTCCCTCGGTGCCTGGTTGGTGTCAGCCCCTACTGAGTGACAATGGGATCCCAGTCCGGAAATACATAGTCCCCGTCTTGGACGGAGTGGGGGACGATATCCTGGCTCAGCTCCCTCACCCCTCCAGAGCCCTGGTTCTGGCCTTCCGAGGGGCCCAACGGAAGCAGGAAGAGCAACGGAGAAAGCTGGAACAGCAGGTGACACTACTGGAGGCCAGACAGGCAGAGGAGCTGGCTGTGCTAGAAGCCACCACAAGAGTCCTGGGGAGGCCCAGGCCACCCCACTCACCTCCCGGGCCGGGGGAGACCTTTCTGTAGGCCCTGTGCCTGGCTGTGTCTAAATGTACCAGACGGTGGTGGCAGGCCCTGTCATAAATCTCCTGGAGTGATGTCATGTGGTCTGACTTTGCATGTTGATGGGTGTTTGGCTTGGTGTGATGGGGCTACGTGGGTGTCTGGGTCCTGATGGGTTGTTGGCCAGCATTTGAAAAAGATTCGGTGTCTTTCGCCTGGCACCATGGGGCATATGAACGGGGTCAGCCAGGGTCACGCTAGAGGCAGCCTGGGCCGTGGGGACAGGGTCCCCAGGGCTGGCTGGGGAGATTCAGGGGTCAATGAGGGTACATAGCCAGAGCTGAAATTCCAACTCTCGCCTGTCTCCAGGAGCCAGGGAGGGGTCCATGGTGTGTGTGTGGGGGGGTGGCAGGGCACACCTGCCCCTCCACACCCCCTTGGGAGATGCTAGGTTTGGCCTGGCAAATGCTCCCGAGAGGAAGATGCTCAAGTCCCAGGAGGACTGGGGCCCCCATGGTTCAGGGTGTGGAATGTTTGCTGGAAGGGCATTGCCCTCAGGGTGCAGGTTGGAGGAGGAGGAGTCAGATGCCGCTTTGGAACTTGCATGCAAAGTATGTGGAGCTAAGGCACAGGGCTTAAAAAGGTGGAAGCAGAAACTCGGGGTCTATACTGCAGGCGCTGAGGAACTCAGAGTTGCTGCTGATGGTGAGCATAAGGCCCTAGAGAACGTGGATGGCTAAATCCCAGCTTTCACCAGGCGGCTAGGGAGCTGTGGGAGGTGTTAGTGTCAGGTTAATAACAGGCATCTGATTAGCATTCATTTGCATCGGCCACACTTCCCCGCCCTTCCAACCGGGTTTGGCCGGGTTGCAAAAGGAGGGCTGGGCTGGATCCAGCCGGCTGGGATTAGCAGCCAGCTGTCCCCTCCTGGGCGGTAGTTGAAACCCAAACTGGGGATTAGCCAGGTTTTCGTTCTCTGCCTGGTGCTGGGGGCGTTTCCCAGGCCTTACCTGTGCTGGTGTGTGTTGGGTGACCGCCTCTCGGGAAGGCAAAACAGGCCTGAGGTCAGCGTCAGTCAGCCACCTGGCCGGCACCCGGTCCTCCTGATCCACAGAGGCCTCAGGGAGTGCTGGGGCTGCTGACCTTCAGACCCCTGAGCACTCTCTCTGGACGGAGGCAGGCTTGGAAGACAGCAGGGAAACTGAGGCGGGCAATGTCGCCCGTGCGCTGGGCAGAGGAGCCAACCTTATCAACCTTCTTGTCCTTCTCCTCACCTCCCGAGAGTCCAAGAACGACCTTAGCCCCCAGTCCCACCTGGTAGCCCGTGGGGGAGGGGGCAAAAGGAGACAAGGTCACCTGTTGGGGGGTGGGGAAGGAGTTTGCGCCGGAGGAGGGGGCGGGGGCTGGTTCCCAGGCCTCCCAGAGCGGGGTCTGGCTGTTCCCACGGGTGCCCCCGCGGCAGATGGGCCCAGACCTCTTTGTCCCTGGACCTCAGCCGCCACAAGGTCAAATGTCACCGCGGGGCCACGGGCAGGGGTCAGGGGGGCGGATCTGGACCTCGACTACCCCCACTTGCAGGCGGGGCCCCAGGGGGTGCATGGCCAGTGGAGCTGGGCAGGGGGCAGGGCAGCCGCCTGGGGTGGGACCTACTCGAGGGTCTGGGATCTGCAGCAGATCTTCTAACTTTAGTCTCCAATCCAGCCCCAGCCAGTCACTTCTGAGCCCCCCTGCCCCAGACTTGTGTCTCTCAAACCTCCATTCCCTGCCTCCTCCCTTCCCCAGCCCCACTCTGATTCCCTTTCCTGATCCTTCTCTCCCTCCCTTCTAAGTCTCCCTTTCTGAAACCCCTGTTCCCCCATCAATGATCCTGGAAGATCTAGGCCAGGGAACTAGGATCCCTGTCCTCACCCCAAATAACTAGTCAGCACCCCCACATTCCCAGGCAGCCCCAGAACCAAAGGGTCCTCTCTAACCACCCAGGTCCCCCTCGCCCAGCAAGGCTTACAGGGCAGAAGTCCACTCTAGTTAGACGCATGGCAAGTCCTTGCTCATGTCTAACCCTAGTCCTTCTTGCTGTCTGTACCTGTTGAAACCTTCCCCACCTTCCATCCAGCCCGACCCACCCTGGGAGGCCCAGAGTCCCAGAGCTGGAGGACTGTGCTGGCTTTCCCCCAGCCTTGGTATCCTTTTAAATGTTGCAAGATTTCTAAGCAACCCCCTCCTTCCCAGGATGCTTCTTCAGATGTTTTCGGGGGGTGGGGGGGCTTTCCCAAGAAGGGAGGGCATTGGAGCCTCAGGGACAGAGGGCATTGCTTTCCTGCCTTTATGGCCCTCACAAACCCAGCCACATGGTCTCGTGCTTGGCTCTGGGCAGGGTAGGGCAGGGCAGGAGAAAAGGCTTGGCGACTGGACCTACGGGACTCCAAGGTGAAAGGTGAAAGGAAGGGCTTTTCCAGCCGGTTAAACGTTAACAGTTAAGCCCAGAGCTAGGGGCTCCTGCTTCTCTTGCCAGAAGCAGCCTGGGAGCATTCAAAAGGTGTTTAATAAATGCTGGTTGGCCCTAGTCCAGGGTCTGGGTGGGGTTGTGGGAGGTTTTGCAGGCAGACGGCAGCTGGGAGGAGAGCTCTCCGGGAGCCTGGAAGAGACATCTGCAGTCCAGCCGGCCGCCTGGCCAAGCCCTTTCTATAAAGCACAGGAAAAAAAGGAAATTAAAGGGGAAGGGGCAGGCCCCGGTAGGGGTGGTGGGCATTCCTGTCGCCTCTAACCTCGCGGGGCGGTGGGCGACCTGCTCCCAAAGGCCAGAAATTCTGGCGAGGGACCCTCTGACCTCGCGTCCCACCACCACATCCCTCCCCCCTGGATATTCCGAGCACCAGGTGTTCGCCCAAGCAGAGACTGGGTGGGTGGGGGTCGGACGCGGCGACTTACTGGAAGAGGAAGCAAACACAATCCATTTTGCAACTGTGCAATGCCCCAGGGTGTACCGGCGAGAGCGCGCGCGCGCGCGCGAGCGTGTATTGCATATGGGCATACCCCCCGGCTGCAACCGGACCCCCGTTATTGCTTATGCCGGGAATGTGGGGCTTCCGAGCGGCGCCCGGAGGGCAATGGAGCGAGGCAACCTCCAAAACAGGAGGTGGAGGGGAGGGCCATGAAAAGGTGTCTGGGCGAGGCTGCGGCAAGGCTGAGGGCAGCTGCTGCCCGGGTTCCCGCCGCGGCCGGGCAGGGGTTAAGGCTGGAGCGGGC